TGGTGAGAAAAGGTCACAAGGGAGTGCAAATAAATTATTAAAATTTTTCTCTCAAACAATTTTTTTTTGTAAAAATATTTTTTATTATATTTAGTTTGAGTTTTTTTTTTAATTAAAACTAAGTAGTTTTGACTTGAAATGTTTTAGTCAGGAAAACTATTAATTACACAATGATATACATTTTTCATTTTTTCTTTGATAATTGGTTTGATAATAAAATACTTATTTATTTTTAACAACGTAGTTTTGTTTTGGAGGAAAAATATTTCATGAGAGGATGACACCTAATCACTTTTTCCCTCTTGAACTTTTGTTTTAATAGGCTACATTGATGATTAACAAAAACTAGACATTGTTTCGGATTGAGCATATCTCTTCTTCCTCATAAGTTACGTTAATATCCTTGATACCCAAAAAATAATAATAATAATAATAACGAATAAGAGGACAGTTGGGATAGTATTTGGGAAAGGGGGAGGGGTTGCACTACTTGTGGTAGTATTCCAATAGGGGATAATCGTTACTTGAAGGTTTGACATTGAAATTTATAGAATATATATTTTGGAAAATTTAAATGTTGGTTGACGGATACAAGAATGAAAACTTATTTTCGTCCAACCTAGAAAAATAGTGTAAATTGAAACTAAGCAATGCAATAAGTAAATAATCTTATATGGTAACTAGATTTTGATATGAATCTTTCGATTCCACAAAGCGCGACTTTATAACTGCGGAAGTTTTTATCAAATTACGGCACCAAGAATTGTTCTTGTTTCACCTATAACTCGCCAAAATAACCAACAACTCTTGGGATATGTCAATTAAATAATGAATTGAATAAAAAATATAAGAATATGGTAGACAAGAAGAATGGATAAAGTATTTTCAAGACGAAACCTATTAGAACGTGTCAATTAAATCTCCATCTCATGATGGAAACACATCGGTTTGTTCCAAAAGGACCACAAATTCAGCATCCAAATTGAGAAACACCAAATCTCGAATAAGGGTAGACGAGCAGTTTGCAAGAAACCAAATTAAAGCTTATGCACTACATTAATCTCACATAACACAAAAACAATTTCACTCGTTCTTATCAAATCATCATTAAAGTTCATCAAAATCAAACTATCTACAAAAGTTGGCCAACATCCCTATTTATAGTAGAGAGTGGTTGAAAATTCTCCTAAGAAATAAGAGAAGAATTTGATTTCTAGTTCTATTCCTATAGTCACCTTTATATCCAACCATATTTACAAATTTAATGAAATCTACGAATAAAGTGATGATATGCTGCACAATAAACCTAAAAACCCTCCCTGAATGACACGTAAAAATTAAAAACTCTAACTCCATTTACTTTTATTTGTCGTATTCGCGTGAACCCAAATTTTATTTTTTATCCATAGCAATTTATTTTCAATACAACATTAAAAACAATTTTATCAAATTCACTATTATCTCTCTCTACATTTAATAACATATACTAATGATAACTACCTATTTTTTACACTCTAATTTCAAAATTTTGGTAGAGTTGCAACACTTGTAATTTGAGACAAGAAAGACAATATACTTCAAAATTAAAACCCCAATCATTATTTCCTTCATAATTGTGTAAACGGAGGTATTATATACTACGTCCATTTTTTTTTATCTGTCACTTTAAGGAGAATCTAATTTTTTTTATCTGTCGCACTTCATTTTTTAATGCAGCATTAGATAGAATTTTTTCCATTTCACCCTTATCTCTCTCTACTTTTAATAAATATATTAATGACAACTACATATTCTTTTACTTCAAAAATTTAAATTTTTTTAGAGTTCGAATACTATTAATTAGGGGTAAGAAAGGTATTATACTTAAAAATTAAATTATCAATCGTTATTTTTTTAATACATATGCAAACCCTAAAGCGTCATATAAAAAAATGGTGGTAGTACTTAGATAATATGATTTTCCACACCGGTATGGGATGGTCGACTAGGAGAAGGACTAGGACGTCCATTAGTCTTACATTATTAAGGGCCTGTTTGATAAGTTGAATTATTGCTTAAAATTATTGGTTTAAGTGATTTTTAAAATAAACATGTTTGATAACCAAATGTGAAGCACTTATTTGATTAAGCACTGCTGAAACTGTAGTAAAAATTTTTAGTAGTAAAATCGATCTAGCTTAATTCTTATTGCTAATTACTCTCATCCATCTATTTAATGATTTATTATTGAATTCCAAAATTACCCATAATTATCTTATTACTCAATTAACTAATTAATTATCCTTTAATTTCTTCTTAAATAATTTTAATGGCTCATTTTTTAAATGAGCAAAAGGCTTGTTGTTTTGCCTGTAATTTTTTTTTTCATTTATCGCATACATATATATATATATATGTTTTTGTTATTTTGTTATTTCAAAAACATAATACTTTTAATTCTTTAAAATTTATCTCATTCATTATTATATTAAAAAAAACTAGTCAGATTTTAGTTTTTCATTTTCCAATATATAATAATTCGATAGTAGATATTTGACGTATAATGAACATGATTATTTTATAGTTCGTGGAAAACTATTTTATGATGAAGTTATACAAAAAAAAAAAAAAATCTACAAAAGGATAAATTGGTAAAATTGTGCAATTCAGCATTCACATCAGTACTTTTATCAAACAAAAATAGTTCTTTAAGCATTATGTTTCATATTTAAAAATTAAGCATTCAGAGTTCTTTAATCAATTCAACATTTCTATTTCAGCATTTAGTATTCAAAATTAAGCACTAATTTTTATCAAATAGGCCCTAAGTGCTCCTTTTTTAGGCATCATTGGCAGGAGGATGTTTAGTTTTTGCACTTACATACATAAAATATGATTTTTTTTTTTTAAAAAAAATGGTGAATCATTTTGAAACCTAAAATATTCTGAAACAAACAGCAGAAACATCAAAGCTTTTCAAAGTATTTTTTGAAATATTCCTTTTATTGTGAAAAGTCCACTCATTGCTAATTTGTGTCAACAGATATCTTACTATATTAGAAACAAAAACCACATTTAAGAGAAAACACCATCATTTGCCATGTGGCATTTCGACATCATATTTTTAAAATAAATTTTTATTTACACATCAGTTTCCTAGACACTTAAAAGGCAAATGCAATACAAATCCATCTCCACCTCCTATTTTTGCCAAAAAAAAAAAAATCACGGCTTCATAAAAAACCCAAATCCTCATTCTCATCTCCACGACAATCGACTCCCTAATCAATTCATTCTCTACAATAAAAAATAAATAAATTCCTCATCAACCATCAATTAAGAATATGTGGTGAAATATACTCCTTTCGTATTAGCATGTTTAATCTTTTCATTAGTGATGATCAACTACATCCTAATCGGATAAAATTTCGACTTCAAAAAATGTTCACTTTACCTCTCTGTATAAACACAAAGGAAAAAAAAAATTTCTCATTGATCTTGCTTCAGCCGTTATGGTGGTACCATTACAGATATTAAAATTTAAATAATTTTATATCCACAGATCATTTGTTCGGCTTTTATTATTTTTTTATTTTTTCCATTCAAAAATAGTGTTATTACTATTATTTTTATGCGTCCACCCATTATAGTTACCGTAGCCGTTGCCAGGTAATATGATGTGATTTCTTATATGGTTAGTTAGCCTAGAATTTTTGTATGATTTTAGTTCTGTTTGGATTGAATTGATCAATTAGGTTTTTGTTATAAAGTGTGGTTTTTTTTAATTTCTTTTTTATGTTTCATTCAATTAGAATGGTTTTCTTTTTTTAATTATGAAGTCTCAGTTTTTTTTCGTATATGGTCAGTTATGAACTTTGCTTTTTCTTTGTTTAATTGCTTTTGATTTTGTTTCATACTCCCAGTTGACCAATTATTATTATTATTTTTTGCAAATGAAGCGCGTTTTTTTTTCTTTTTTTTTGTGTTCGGGCTTTCAAGAATATAATTTTTTGAATTTGGTTTTTGGACTTTTTTGAGTTACTCGTCAGATAAATAGTTCACGTCGCTTCTTCTAACTAATTTATAGGGAAGCCTTTTATGAATTTGAGGTGGAGAGGGAAGGAATGATGTTTCTACATTTATTTGTGGTTTTATACATCATTTTACCTAGAGGGAAAAAAATAATTTCTCAATTTTAAATGGGCTCCTTTACATACTTTTTTTTTTATTTGCCATGGTGGGGTGAGTTCTTTTTTGGTATAACTTGAAACCTATGCAAAGTTACATTAATTTTGATTCTCATATTTGTGATCAACCAGTTTCAACAGTTAAGCAGTTTCAAAATCATATTTTTGATATTTTACTACCTATAAACCTTTGGAAGAAACAGTTCCAACAATTAAACGTATACCCTTCGGAGCAAGCTTACTACAAAAATATTATAAATCTCCAAAACTAAGTATTGATTTGGCAAGACAAACGAAGAACATCAATAAATCATCTTACTAATATTTAAACTTATTAGGATGCTTTTATATTTTTTTCTAACATTTACTTCAAGACATATAATTGATCAAGTTTATTTATATTTAATAAGTAACACTTTTAAAACATTTCTAAAATCTTCAAACATTTCTAAAACGTACCAGGCCAAATATAATTTCTTTTTTTATCAAATACAACATTTCTATGATCACACTTATAAAACATTTCTAAATTCTTCAAACATTTCTAAAATATATCGGGTCAATACAAAATAATTTTTTTTCCAAATACAACAATTTCTAAGATCTACCGATATATTGAGCCAAGGTCGCGCATTGCACGACCAGACATCACTAGTATAGATATAGAAGGGTATCATGGCTTATTTTTTTGCTCTAATCCATAACGTATTTTATAAAAACCATTGCTCAAATTTGATTACTGTGGAGTCATTTATAAACAAAATTAACAGAACAGAAACAAATTATAATAAACGTTACATTCATAATAGTCAAGTAAAAACTGTAGTTCAACTGCTTCGTGCTATGAGCAAGGCTTTTCATACGATGTGCTTTTTAATTCCATTCCATAATGCAAAAAAGAAACCCTCTTCTAGTTAATCTACATTTCTATCTATCTATCTATCTATATATATATATATATATACACATATACTCCTGTACACAATTGAAAATGCAAACACCAAACTCTACCGGCAGAGGGGTTATTCGTTTGCCGGTGACACCGGTGACTGTGACAGTATGGCGGCTGTAGTGGCAATTCTGTTGCGCATGTGCTCCATTGCTAATAATACTCTATGTTGAACAGCCTTAATGATCTTTTTCAAGACGGAGAAAAACTTGGGCAAGTTTTTTAAGACATATGAACCGAGGCGTATGAGGATACCTATAACAATTGATGAAAAACTCATGAAGAACAATCCACCAAAGCTACGTAGGCTTAAAATGTTAGGTTTTGAAGCTGCATGTTTTCCGGCCTCATCCATGAATGATGATGATGGTGATCCGCTGTTAAACCATGTATTCTCCATCATTGCTAGTCTTCCTTCCTCCCTTAGCTTCATAATTGCTTGTGACATATCAGAAACCAGTTGTCCATGAGTCTTCCCAAATGCCTGTTCATATGTGTATCAAACAAAGTAACACTTAACTAAATAATTACTACCTCCATCTTCTTTTATATGTCCCATTACAATATGCACGAGTATCAGACAAATAATGATAGCAGCTTTAACTTTTAACTATAATATCTTTCTTAACCCTTAAATTAAAAGTATTAAAAATATACAAGAATTAAAATTTAAACTTAAAAACATAGGTAATTGTGATAAAAATATGCTATAAAAATAGAGAAAAATAAAAGTGAAATTGAAAAAGTGTACTTAATGATTCATTAAATATGAAGCACGACAGATAAAAAACATGTTAGATTTACTACGATGCCTAAAAAAAGAGGTTCTAATGATTAGTTATTATGATACAAATTATCTCGTTTGAGAAATGGAAATACTCCCTCCGTCCCATAATTATTGTCCGGTTTAGGTTTTCATTTTTATTCCAAATTATACTAAAAGTGAAATATCAAACTGGACAATAATTTTGAGACAGAGGGAGTATATCATCATGGAATAGAAAGAGTAGAAAATGAAGCTTGGGAGGACATTAAAAGGAAGTAGAAAGTACTCACAAAGCCAAATCCGTTAGTGGTAGATCGGGTTGAAACCATGGCGTACTCATCCCCATACTTAGCCAAAAAGACTTTGAGGTAAGGGATTTCGTCAATGATGGCTACGACACCACCTTTCTTAAATCCTTTTGATAAAGCATCAACATATTCATCAGGTGAAGAGTAATATTGAAGTCGATCATCTACGAAATTAGTGTTGTTGACAACACGATCACTTCCTAGAAATGAATTCAAATGTGTTCCTACGTAATATTCCCCAGCAGGACCTTGTTGAATCTTTTGCAATGTCACCATAGAGGTCAACGTAGCAGTGTAAGTAGCAACTAGTATAAGCACCGTAAAAAGCCAAACAATCACAACCAATCTTGACAAGTTACTTGTCAACTTTTCTCCTGCAATGACCGATACAAAAAGGCGTACATTAGGCTTACAATATTTAAGACAATGATTTCATCAAGTGAAATTGTACTGTTAACACCCAACAAATTTTCTATAACTACTTAAGTCGACAAAGAAGATCTTCTCTATGTAAACTCTTCCTTCAGAATTAGAATAAAAAGGCTCATTTCTAACACCAATTCGGCCTTAAGTCTCATCAATTCCATGTCAAATTCATTTCTAACCTTTGTTATGTTGTTTTTATTGTTGTAACATCTCTAAACACGTACTTAATTAAGAGATTCAAGAAAGTACATTGATAACCTACAAAAACAACCAATGCACACTCCTTCAAAATTATGTTACATAGTAAATAGTGACGAAGACTGTTGGTATCTTTTTGTGTATGGGATATCACTCATTGACCCTTTTCAGTTGATTAATTAGTTTGAAACTGGCTCTCTTTGATCATACTCCATGTGCCCTAAAATGATTTTTCAGTTTGAATCATTTCGCGATGGAGATAGTTTAGTTTGTTATACTTACATAATTTGTGCTTAAGATTATGATTTCATATTTTCATAGATAAGCAGGACAAAGAGAGCTTACTCTGAGCATAGAAAAGCGTTGAAAAGCCAAAATACAACATCTTCCCAGCTTGATTAGCGACTGAACCTTCCTTGAACTCTGGATTAGTAGGACGTTCGAAATATCCAACAGAAAATCCAACTACGATGAAAGCGACAATCGTGGCTACCCATAAATCAAGTTGAAGGGGCTTCCAGAAAAGCCAAATATCATCACCGTTTTCTCGTTTTGTTATCATTCCAAGGCCTATATCTGTATAAGTTACCGTGAAATCTACGTTCAAACTTCTGTTATACGTAATAGTGACGTCTCCAATGATGCCATCAAAGTTCTATGTGAATTAACATCCAGAGAGAAAGTTTTGTATTCATGTTAGATGATTCAATTTAGAATATATTACTATGAAAAATATTATACTCCCTCGGTCCTTAATATAAGGTATTTTGATTTCTCCTATGTTTCATCTATTATACATTTTTTATTGAAAAAAATTTTAAAAATATTTTTTCACATTCATTGTATTCTTCTGATTGGTGGGAAATTTTTTTTAAAGATTTTTTTATCAATTAAAATGCGTACTAAGTAAAATTTATGACAAATCAAAATGATTTATATTAAAGACCGGAGGGAGTACATTAAACAAGTCATACTAACTCCAATTAATTTATTTGTCCTTTTAGGGTGAACTCAAAACTTTTTTGTATCTATCACACTTCATTTCCAATGCAACATTAGATACAGTTTTTTTGATTTTACTATTATCTCTCTCTACTTTTAATAACATGTATTAATAACAACTATCTATTCTTTTACTTCATAATTGAATTATCAATCATTACTTTCTTAATACCTGTGAAAATTCTAAAGTGACAGATTAAAAAAATGGAGATAGTCGATACATTGCCATTTCAGCTATCTTGAGGAAGAGAACTAAGGGAAATACTCACTCTGTTCTAAAATTATTGTTCAGTTTGAATTTTCACTTTTAGTATAGTTTGAACTAAAAATGAAATTCTTAATTGAATAATCATTTTCGAATGGAAGGAAAATAAAAGAAGACGGGAGAAGTTATTACCTCATCATACAATTTGTTGATGAGATCAGTATAGCTGCCAAGATTACTGCCATTTCGGTAAACCCATGGAATGAGATCAAAACCAACCTGATATGATAATGAGTTTATTACGGCGTAAAAGACATCCACACAGAAGCCTGTGATGCGAGTTGTGTTGGTAAGATTGTCGCGATTCACACTAACAAATTGTGGGAATCCAGCATTGTTCAAAACCGCAATTCTTAGATTCTGCCCATTTGCCATTAGAAGGCCTCTTGGAGAAGCTTTTGTAAACCCTGGCCACATAATGGCTTCATCAAGACCAACTATTTCTGAACTACTAGTACTAGATGGACTCCTTCCTTTAACTACTTTGTCATGCTTTAATGTCCACATCCCAACTCTTCTTTCTCCTTTCCCAATTACATTCACGATTTCAAAAGCTTCAGAGTGTAGTCTCCCATCAAGGATTTGGAATTCGCCACTCAACCCGGAAATTCTTTTTCCTGAAATACCGTCTAGAAGTTGTTCACCATGTCTCAAAGTTTGAATACTCTCAGCCAGTGCCCAAATTGTGTCATATGCCCATATGCCTAGGACATCAATTTCTCCAGATTCAACAAAAGGGTTAGAATTCTTTCTGTAGAATTCCTTTTTCCATCTAAAGTTGAAGTCTTGAAGCTTACTTGATGATGGAATATAGGCCCTCAATCCCACCACACCCTGCATTGTCTCCAGGTCTTCCTGATTTGCGGATCGAATGTGATTCATAGCTTTGTCTGTTACAATCCAGGCATAACCTTCTCTCATCATGCCAAGTCTTTTCGCCATCGAAAACAGACGATATGTAATGGATGGTGAAAGGTGCACGATGAAATTCGTTTGTTTCTGAAATGCGAGCTTATGAAGCTCATCAAGGATTTGATCATAAGTTGAGAAAGGAGAAATGAATGTCCTGTGGCTGACCCGAATGCTTCTTTCTTGGAGGGATCCAACCAGATAAGGTATAGAATTTCTTCCATTATCGGTATCTTCAAAAATCAATGAGACAGATTTCCACTGATGCCAGCTTAGGATGTTTGCAATGGCCTTAAATTGTAAGGTTTCATCTTGATTTATTTGGACAAGAAAAGGGAATTTATCACCAGGGGATGAGAGAATTGGCGAAAATGTAAACACTGGAACTTTGGCTTTGCTTCCTAGTCCGCCGAGGTATATGGTCTCCGGAATTGTTTCTGGCCCTATTATCAATGATTGCACCTTGGCATTTTCCAGAAGATCTCGAGCTGCATATTTAGTTTCAATAAGTTGATTTTAGTTGTAACACTCCCACTCTCTCAAAATGATTGTTCCATTTATGATACAATCATTCTGAGACTGTGGGGTTAAACTTTTGAAAATATAGTATCAAAATGACCATGTTATTTTATGCATAGTCTATTCCAAAAAGAAAAAATTCACATTGTGTTTTGGGATTTGTAATAATTTACTTAAATTTTAAAATTTGATATAGACTTTTTTCAGAGGAAATACTTTCTAGGCAAATTGCTTCAAACAATGGATTGTCCAAAATCTTAATACATTTCTATATCACTGACATTTGCTATTAGCCTTTTCTTTGGGTCACCGTATATCAGTGATATACAGATGGAAGGAGCCATCTAATATTGATTATCACAAATCAGCGGAGAGGATGAGTTTTCAAGATTTTGAGCCTTCCTTTATGTGACCTCCAACTTCAGTAATGTAATAGCACAGAATGGTGTTTTTTTCCTACCTTACAATCTTGTACCCAATTGTATGTCATGTAGATTTTATGAAATTTTATCTTCGGTAAACATTTTTTTTACATTACCAATATTATGTACTTTTAAATTTCTAAAAAAGAAACATATATTGAAAAAATTGACTTGAACAGAACCTTGATACTATTTAATAACCACCTATATAAGTTCTTTGATCATTTTGTATTGTTTTCTTGGTTTTAAAATAATTGTCAAGTTTAAATTTTTATTTTTTGTACAATAAAAATAAAAAAGGGCAATTATTATGCGACATAAGAAGTACTATATAAATGTGTATGAAAGAATCTCGAATCTAAGGGTGGTTAACAAGCCTAAGAAAGTGGCCAAGTAGATGTTTTATAAAACCAGAGAGAGAGAGAGAGGGGAAAAAAAAAGAACTTGCTTGTTAAGTCACATTATTATCCCTTTGTCATTTTCAACTCACGTAAACATGCACACAAAGTGAATTCAAAATCCTGCTTTCCACGGTGCAATCCGGAGCAGGGGTGGCTCAACATTTTTTGGGGTATAAGGCAAGTTCTGAATTCAAGACCTTTTGATAAAAAAGAAACTATAAAAAAGAGGAAAAAAGTTTAACCCTTTTTATTTTTCGGTGACAACTATAAACCTGTGAGTCTATAGCAAGCAAAGTTAAAAAATTTTTCTCAAATATTATTTATATTAAATTTATCTTTTTAGTTTTTTTTTTTTGAAAATGTTGTTTATGTTAAGTTATTTTTCTACTTTTTTTGGTTGCAAATTCTTTTATGAAATTTCTATGATCTATCTCTTCTACTAAGCCTTTTTCTTATTAATATAATAGTAAATCCATTTTAATATGTCTTGTGACATTGTCAATTTTAACTAATATTTTTTTAATTTAAGTTTTGAAAAATTTCTTTCTATTGAACCAACTGTTACATGAATAATAGTTAACATTATCCTATAAGCAATTAAAAAAGAATTAAGTCTTTTAATATAACTAAGTATATCAGTTAAATTATTATTCTCAAATATATACATTATCTGTTAAAATTTTTAGTTCATAAATATATCTAAACCGTCAATATCTAAAATATTATTGTGTTTTATGGAGTTTTGAAGGTTAAGACAATTTTTTTTTCTAATTTTTTGTCATCAAGTACTTATAATTTTTTCAAAATAAATAGAAAACTAAAAATACTAACGTCTATTTAAAAAATTTTAAATCTCCTTTATAGTGATGAGATATATAGCTCTATTAACTACGTAAAGAAAATAATTAATTTTAAAAATCTCGAAGCGTGTAAGAGTTTCATTAATTCTTCATATTTTCAACAAATCGCTTATTTTTTTGAATTTTCCGAGCAACGGAATCTGAGAGGTGCCAGCGGCCGTATCCCTCCGTTTTGAACAATTTTCAAGACTATATCAAATTTTAATTCAAAAATTATTCGCTTTACATAAAATGGTTATATAACCTAGAGTTTTATGTGTACAAAACAGCGAACAACGATAGTAAAATTGTAGGAATGTAACTTGTACAAGAGTTTTACGTGACGATGTGTGTATATGTATTATCTCTTTCCTAAAACTGTTTTCGCCTTTGGATTAAGGGTGATTAGCCATAATTAGTCAATTGTGTGTTATCTATTAATCAACAATTGTCAAATCACTTTAAGCTCCAATGGAGTAATCAATTAGCCAGATGGTTTATCATATGAAATAGGCATACTTTAACAACAAAAGCTTTCTTTGTAAAATCTATATGCGATCGACTGTAAGTTGCCTTTTAAAACAGATATGAGCTAATGAGCATTACTTCCTCAATTTTTTTATATGTCTTTCTAGAGAATTCATCAAAACCAAGAAAATATTAAATAATGTAGTTAAAATACAAAAATATACTTATTTATTTTCTATACAATTCATCACAAACCAATAGAAATTTATTATACATATTGTTTCATTCACAATTCAGGGGTAACACTAGTAAAAAGTGGTCAAATATGCCTCGATTTGTGAAAACGACATATATTTACAAAAATTCAACAAATCCTAAAACGACATATATTTCAAAATGGAGGGAGTACTATTTAAGGGTTAGTGCTCAAAATATTAGGCGAACAGTGTTTTTTAGAGAAAAAAAGAAAACAGTAGAAATTTTTGCCCAGATTTCAATTCATTTTTTAGAAAATGTTGCCCAGATTTCAATGCATTTTTTAAAAATTTTTCCATACTTGGAAATTCGTAGCTCCACCATTAAATACAAATCTCATTATGTCTAGTTTGAGAGATTCTAGTTTCGACAAAATGAAAGCTCGATATGGAAAACTACCTTTCATAAAACTGGAAATAATATCTATATTCTACTAACAAATTGGACTATTATTCTTTACACGAAGGTAGCAAATTTTATTCAGTATTGGCTATTTCACTAACTGATTCATGACACTAAAAACTGAAAACTACTGCTGCGTCACACACACACACACGCATACACACACACTTTTCATGTATGATTATTGATTAATGAAATGGTTGCGGAAGAGGAGATCGATTACTAACCTGAAGAAATAGCATGCAGGGGATCTCCCCTGGAGTCCCTGGCGTGAAGAACTAATCGGATTTTTAGCCGATTTTGTTTTGAAGCGTAAAAATCAGAAATGGCCATTTCAACACAGCTATGGACACTTTCACCAATCCAAGATCCCATGTCAATAACAACGCCTACGTTAAAAACATTCTGGTTATGCTGCAGCACCGTCATGCCGTTACCATCGGAGTCGTCGGATACCGGAAAAACTCCCTCGGCGAATATTTCGTGAGCTGCAAGCAAAAGAAGACTGACGATGAGGAACAGTACCGGATGTTTCAGAAACGGAAATGTTGGTTTCTCCATTCTTTCCATAATTTCATTACTTTGTGTATAGTTGATGAGATATATATATATTTGTTAATTGCTGAATTTTATATTATCATGTTAATTGACTTGGAGCTAGGTCAACCCAAACCGTAGAGAAGAATAAAAGAAAATTTCTTGCTGACGATTGATCGGAATATTCGCCGACTTGGAAAAGAAATATTTGCCGTCGGCCGTCATAGAATAAAAGAATTAATAACGTTCAGCGACTTGGGAAAAGAAATGAGACTACAGAAATTTCCAAGAAAACCAAACTCTGTTGATCATTTCCGGAAGGAAAAGATGACTTACATGCTCGAGTGGTAAGAACTAGCCATGCAATTTCATTTTATCAGACGGTCACCACTCGATTATGAAGTTTTTGGATGTTCTGTATTATTTCTTTGTAAAACCTTTTGTGTCACTATTTCTCGTATGCCTTTGGTAATTAAAAATTCTTATGTCACAAAAAAATTGTCCACATTGAGTTAAAATATTTGTAATGCATTTATTATAAATCTCGAAACTTAATATAGAGAAAGTACTGCTAAAGTTTTCTCCATAACCATACATATTAAACAGTATATACAATGCATATTAAAATTACATTGAGAGAATAGTCATTGAACATATGACAAACTAAAATTACATTGAGAGAATAGTCATTGAACATATGACAAACCATTAGTAATTTTATTATTTGGATAATTTTCGTAAAGATATTAATTTGTTGATGTGGATAAGTTTTAAGTAGTGCGTATTACTATTATTTTTTATATTAATCAACTTGGGTATATACCCGTTAGATAACATTTTGTTTTCCTTCATAAACTTTTTTTTATATATTTAACTTTGAATTTCTTAGAACTTTTAATAAAAACGAAGCTGGAACCGAAATGTACGGTTTTGAAAGTGGCCCATAGAAACTGTATAAAATGAGAAATTATTTAGTCCAGCTACTGTATCACGTAGGATTATGCAGCCAGACACAATAATAGGGGTAAAGTAGTAATTTTGAAGGGAGAGAGATAATTTCTACGGAAGTTATATTATTAAAATATGAGGGTGTTAGTACTTACTGCACTGAAAATCAAGATATAACAGCTGTACCCAATAATTTTTCGTATAAAATCACCAATTGGAACCGAATTTGAACTAAATCCGAACATAGATATCTCTCTTGACTCGAGCACTAGTTTGCATTTTTTTTTATGTCATATTTCCTTTTCGCGTACTTGACTTGCGTTTCTACTAAACAACCGACACCATATGTGCCTCTAAGAACGTGTAAATATTGTGTGTTACTGTAGAAAGAGAAGACCGAATTAAGACTTCTATGGACAGAGTTTTTGTTTTTGTTTTTTGTTTGGATTTCGGAAGAAATTTAAAATGTAATTTGAAAAAAAATTTAATAAATTATATGTATAATATTTTAAATAAAATAATATTATTTTTCTCAATGTCTGCTGAAAAATGCATCGACAATTTATTTCCAATCAAATAAAGGGTTTGAAGTTGTTTCAAGTTTCAATTTGACAATGAGGTTCCACCTGAGAAACCATTTTCTCCAACATTGAGATATTGCTCTTTGGTGAGATTTCTAATCTCCTCATGGATGTTTCCACTAAGACAATTGGATACAAAATTTAACATGGTTAGACTTCTACATGTGTAAATAACCGATGCGGGAATCAAAGAAACCCGACTTCAATGTCTAAATTAACACCATCCGGTATATATAAGAGCATAAGCTTAGGACATATTTATAAGGAAATAAATATTAGTTCTTATATCATCTTCTGTTTTAAGTTGTTTTGAGGACTTAGTGAACGGTTAGATGGAAAAATTGGCCGATCTACCCTAACCTTTACATGCGTTGTCAATTTTATCATATTTTTTTCGATTATCAAATATTACCCTAAGCTATTTAACCATTAGCTGATTTTGTCCAATTTGCCAATTTCCGTTTAAATTAACGGATTTTCTGTTAGTTTTAATTACGAAAGTATCTTAATAGTTTTAAAAATTATAAAAATAACCCTAAAAATTTGTAAAAATAACAAAATAGTCTCTTTTCACTTTTTATTTAATTTTTTTCTGTTTTCTATTTCTTTTTACTATTTTTCATAACTATAAAAATATACTATATGATCTTTTAGAATAAAAATTATTTTTAAACAATACTGCACAAATTTATATATATACATATTTGTAATTCATGGTTGATTTACATAAACATATTAATTTTTTTAATACTATGGCTAGAAAATAATGATATTAGTTTTCTAATCCATTTTTTTCAATTTAAAGAATAAGATTTTTTTTTTTACTAAAACTAATTTTTTTACAAAAAATTAAAAAATTTAGCATAGATTAAAAAATAATCGATCAAATTTTCTGTTTCATGAGAGTAGATATAAGATTAAGTTTCACCAAAGGATTTCTAACCGAGAGAGTGATTTTATCCATATTTAAGTGAGGTCTACTATAGGCGAGAGGATTAGATGGTCAAGTGATTTAGGATGCGAGATAAAATTATTGTATTCGATGTCTCGATTCTCACTGGGATAATCTAATTTTTCTTTTTTTTTTAAAAAAAAGGCGGAGTCCAGTACTGGAATAGATTTTCTTTATATTATTTATTTAAAAAAAATAGACTTTCTGCTAAAGTTAGATATATTAATATCTCAAAAAATTATCGCAAAATGTTGAACCCTCGCAATGATAAATATAAATATTTTTTTATAAAATATTTTGTACCATTTTTGTAAATTCCATGACACTATATTCTTGTGTTGGACCTATCTAGAAATGAAATAGGTGTTTTTTTTTTACTTTCTTTTCGTACTTGGCCTTTTACAGAAATATTTATATTTTAATTTTAATTATTTTTAAAATTTTATGATACAATCTAAAGTCTGTTGAATTAAATTGTAATACACTAAAGTATACCAATAACTTCTTTTTTAATCTATGCTAAATGTGTTATTTTTTTGTACAAAATTAGTTTTAGTTAAATAATCTTATTCTTTAGATTGAAAAAAAATGGATTAAAAAAATAATATCATTAACGTTGAACCACATTATTAAAAAAAATAATATGTTTATGTAAATTAAACATGACTTACAAATATCAAATTATAAATTTGTACATTAGAGTTTAAAAATAAATAGTTTTTTTTAAAAAAGATCATATAGTATATTTTTTTAGTTATGAAAATATTAAAAAGAAAAACAAAAAAAATTAAACAAAAACTAAAAAGAGACTGTTTTATTATTTTTGTAAATTTTTGGGGTCATTTTTATAATTTTTAAAATTATTAGGGTATTTTTATAATTAAAACAAATAAAATTCCGTTAATTTAAACGGAAAAGAGCAAATTGGACAAAATTGGCTAACGGTTGAAGAGTTTAGGGTAATATTAACTAATCGAAAAAGAATAGTGTAGAATTGACAGCGCATGTAAAGTTTAAGGTAAATTAGCCAATTTTTCCCCGGTTGGATGATGTACCTAGTGAAGCTTCGTGCATGGCTTGGATACAATAGGATAAGGATAGTGAATCTCGAACAAAAATGTGATAGTGTATTGATATTAACTCTACAAATTTGATTAAACCTCACGAAGGTATTTGACATTAGCCCTATTTTTGTTTTATCAAACATAAAGAAAAAGAAACTTGATAAATCGATCCGCCAAAACTTCCTCTTTTTGAAGAATGTGCAAATGAACTTGTTAAATTAGGTGCATAATGCCTGATAATATAGGTACTTTGAAAAAATAGAAATAAAAAGAACTTTGAACTGTATAATTACTATTAAATTACAATTTTAATAACACCAATAGAACATCATAAACAAAAAAATAAAATAAAATAAAATATGATGTCTGTTTACATTGCCATTATCAATTACTTTATGAATTTAATATGAGTTTCCACCAACTCTTCTGTCCTCCGATAAAAGGAGTTAATTGAACAATAACTGGACTTTCGGTTTTAGAGTCTGCATATGTGTGGAGGCCCAAAGGTTGGCCATTGAATATTCTATAGCAATGTTATCCAAAAGGTTAATATTATAAGGCCTTCAAATCATTTTCTAGCCCTGAAGCTTACCCGACATATTCCATGTCCTAGGTGACTTTTATGATTTATCTGGACAATGTTTGAAACATTCTCTGTTTAGAGAACAGCAAAATGATATGGTCGATCTAGCGTGAAATTACCATTGCAGCAAATCAACCACTTGTGTTTTCTGTGGGATCTTCTCAATTTATGCAAACGTTTTCTTCTGTAAATCTATTTTCTTATGCAGTTCGCTAAAAGTAAAAAGTTGCATCGTATGCAGTCTGAGCTCTTAATATAAAAAGAAAAAAGTATCATCAAACCTTTTAGGTCATGAGAGAAAATTATATTTTTCATGTATTTGAAGCTCCATTATCCAATTGTAATTGATTTTTATATAAGAGGAATAAAAAAAAAAATGTATGAATCCATAAATGAGCTGTTGAGAAAGTTGAACTTTGAAAACCAGAGTTAAAAGTGACCTTAACCCCAAATATAAGGACCAGATGTGCATTTTTGTTGAATAGATTTTTGTATTTCGACATTCTTATCAGCATTTGGATATTGTACGTGTGAATTTAAACATCAAGTCACGCAAGAAATTATGCCGTGTTATTAAGAAATGATGCAATATATTCTCTGACTAAGTTTATAAGGTAATTATGAAATTAAATATGTGACCTGAATCAGACTTGACTCTTGAGGGAGTAGTTAATTAGTTGAAACTTGTGTATATCTCATGATAAGAACTGCAGGGAAAGTGTCTAATTTCTCATTTTCTATGATTCTGGATTTCCATATTGAATTGGTCAACAATAGATATCGGGAGCTTCAAACAAATCCCTTTACCAGCTGAAAACAAACAAATTTGGTTTTTATTATCGGGAGCTTCAAGTCTTTAGATATTTTCTTTCAAGTTGGATTCGTGGGGTTTCCCG